CTCACGTGCGCGAGGATCGAGAACCATGAAAAAAGTAATACCCGCTCGATCGCACTGCTGAATCCAAAGGATACTCTCCTTTTCTTTTTTTCATCTCTTTTTCCTCGTCGGATTGAAACCTTTATGCGCGGGAGACCGATTGTCCATCGTCGGGTCTCGATCCGAGCGAAGCCTGTCCTTTTGTGCGGGACCGGTCCTGAAGATTATCGACGTATAAAAGGGCTGCCCAATGAAAGGAAACGGACCCTTTCGATCCTTTGTAAGAGTCCCAACTGTACCAAAAGGGATGCAATATTATTCAAAATCACGAAAATCTCCGATGGAATTTCGTTATTTTCGGCCCCATTCAAACTCCCAGATGCATATCTTATACGAGGGTCCGAAACCCTACTGAATTGAATAGGAGTTCCGCGCGCAAGGGTTTCCTTCGGCCTGTCCAGTAAGCGGTCGTGCATCACCCTTGCACGAAATCCCATACACCTAGACTGAGGAGAACCACCCCTGCGAGTAAATCACATCGCATTAAACTCAATGCTACTCAGCTGCATCCCGTTCGTAGGATTTATCACCGGTTATTTGCTTAATATATTTTGATTTTTCTACTCTTATAATTTTCATTACGAATTGCCATTTTGCGTCAAGTTGATATCGGGTCGGGGTCTGTACCATTATATCAGTATAGATACAGACGAAATGAATTTACGTATAGGTTGTGTATGGGGATATGAAAATTGTCTATAGGATGTTTTAGCCTCATTTTTAGGGGTGGGTGGTACCGGTCTCGATCAGGTGAAAAGGGTCAAGAAGACAAAAGGGTCTGACGCTAGGGGGGCATACACGGTTTCGTTAGCTTAGGTTCTAGGTCGGGTTGGGTTACACGTAGTACCCAGTGAAAGACCCTTGGAACTGGTGTCTACCTTTATCCTCGTATAACCCTGAGATTCAGGTGAAAAGGGTCAAGAAGCGTGACAAAGGACCCCGCGTGCTGGATGAGCAGATATTCTATGGACGCAATCGTAGGGGCTCAGCCTTTCCTTTGGTACTTTCTACACATCGTCCATTTTTATTTCTACCTTTTTTCCCCTCTCTTTCTTACGATACCTAACCACCCTCACGATCCAAATCGAATGAATTGATCGCTTTGAATTTTCCATTGAAAAGGGTGGTTTCTTTACGGCCTCTCCAAGGGTTGCTTTTTCCGGGTCTGGAATCGGCTTTACTTTTTCGGATAGTATAACATAGGGGAAACTGCATCCGATTTTTGAAAATAGGCGAAATAGGTAAAATGGTGGGGGTCCTTACAACACTTTGCGAATTGAGAAAAATACTGTTTTTTCAGCTGCCATAGGGCAGGTGAGGACTGGTAGGTACTTGGATATTTTTTTGGACCTATATGAAGGGTTTTTTAAAAATATTTTCGAAAATTAATTGTTTTTAGTTTTAGTCAAGAATTTTTGGAATTTCGAAATCGACTTCCAGTGTCCGACTGACCCGAAAGCCACTTGTCACTCAATAACGTTAACCCTTTTGGAAGCTTTTGTCGATGGGTTCAACCCTTTCACAGGTGAATCGTACCCGCACAGTTCTTTTTTACCCTTTGTCCTTTGACTTCCGCCAACCCGTTCTCAGGTAAAGAACGGATTTTGGGTTAGCGGATCAAAGGGTTAGGGTCCTTGATTCGTCTGTAGGAATGCGGGACTGTTAGTTTGTTGGGTAACTTCTATGGGGATGACATACGGGTCTTTCCCTATAGGAACATGATACATTTTTTCCACCCACAAGATTCACCACAAAAAAGATGTAGTGGATTTTCAGAGGTATCGAAAAATATGTTAATTAATTTTTTCCGGAAAAAAAAATTTGTAATCGCATTTTCACAGTGAAAAAGAAGCGTTTTCCAATTTTTTTTTTTATTCAGATAACGTCACACGGAATTCAGTCACGTTACTTTAAGCTCATTCGAGAATTGGTATACAGGTTTCAATTGAAATTTTCGGTTTGGATCTTTGCAATGTCTCGTTTCAAGACGTTGCACAATAGTCGAGAGAAGCGAGAAGGTTCGTGCAGGTTCGAGCCTACACGGTTTCGCAACAAGACGTTCTTCCCGAAAGAAAAATCTCAATAGTACTGAAGAAGAGAACAAAAAATGGAAAAAAGAAGATCAATAGCCGATTTTCCAAAAGGACCCAAAGTCGAGCACGTTCAGACTTGTTTTTCGTTACTCGTACTGACTCGAACGAGGCGTACAGGTTCGTACAGGTTCTCGAAGCGTCGTTCAGGTCTCATCTGGACCTGACGAATAATGCAGGAGGTGGAGATCCCAGAATCCTCAACAAAACCCAGTTACGAAAACCTGCCATTGAATTTTCAATGCAACTTACGGCGCTGCACGTGAAATGCGAAATCGAACTTGAACCGAGACGCCTGAGAAACAAGAAGGAAGGTGGCGCATCTACGGTGGCGCGGACTATGGTTAGGTTCGGTACTAACTCTTACTTCAGATGCTGCGGCACGTATCCCTTTTTCAAAGCAAACTTCCACGTGAAGAGAGCAACATTTTTTTCCTCCGTTTTTTTTCCTCCTTCTTTTTCTCAATGAAAGGAGAATGTCATTCTATTGACCGTAGGATGACGAACTGGCAAGAATCGCCGTGTTGAGAAGATGGCGCTGAGCGCAGGATGCAGGATGCACGTCACGATACTGTACCGTGTGTCTTGAATTATAAAGAATACATTATGCATTGTAGCTCGTGGACTGCTTTCCTTCTTTTATCTTTTTTTTTTTTATCGTATACATATTACATTTCTTTTTTTGCCGTAGGTCTTTTTTTTAGGAGGCCATTAAACCCTGTCGGAGACGCACAGATACGTGGCTGTGGAATAATCGTAGAAGTCTGGATTAAAATTTTTTTCTGGCACTGTATTTTATTAATTTTTCGATCTAGTTGACATTTTTTGATGCACGATCAGATGCTTCTTCGGCAGATGCCATTTTATTAGGTACGGGATGAACTGGTAGTTTGTGCCAAATGTTGTGGGTAATGATCTCGAGGATCCGAAGGATCTGCCATTGTGCGCGAGTTATCCGCTAAGGATCTTTAGGTGAAAACCTTGATCAAATTTGACCTGGGTCAACAATTTTGAGATACGGTGAAATAAATTCGATGGCAAACACTCATCTAATGAGGACCTTGCTCGACGTGAGCTAATGTCAAATATTGATCCGGCCAGTGAGTCGAGTGAGTCCCAAAAATGGCAGTTTGAATGTTCCGCGTTTAAAAAAAAGGGATTTTGAATTGCTCAATGCTGGGAAGGGATACGAGACTAGCGACGGTACGGAGCTTTCTGAGTCGAATTTTCAAAAATCTATACGTCCATTATCGTCCTAAGTAAACAGTCACGATCTTTTGTACTGCACGGAGCCCGCAGCTACGTAAACAAACTCCATACAGTTGGGTCCTTTGGGCCCGTGATCGATACGAAATTCATGAGGACTGCTTTACCATACATTTTATACGTCTATAGGAGAACAAGGGACCCCACGAGAAATGCGAAGGGATCCTTCATTCCTTTTGCTACTGGGATTACTGTTATAAATTATACGTTTCCCTTTTCTTGGATCGCGGTGACCGGTAGCTCCGCACCCAGATTTCTATCGCAGGATTAGGCCCACCGCGTCATCGCGGTATCCTGTTCATACGGGTCTTGGCTCGTCCTTCACAGGATTCCCTGACCAGTATTTCGCTCCGGGGTTATTGTGTCAGGCGATCTGAAAAAAAGACGAACGAAAGAAAAAAGAAATTGGGACCCTTTCGTCATTTTTCGATTATGCATTTCGGTAGGTAGGTGGGTGGGGGTGGCAAATTTTGTGCGCTTTCACGTTCACGGTTCATTTATGAAAAGTATTCAATAATTTTACAGATAAATATGGGAATTTTACATTTATTAAAAAAAAAAAAATGGTAAGGCCCAATTTCATTACATCATCTTTTCCTTTGCTCCAATGTGTCTCTTTTGAAAATTGAACATTGCTCAGCATAAAGTCAGCACGGATAGTCTGAAACTCAACGGCCAACTCGTACTTAAGATGTGTCGGGCCCACGAAACGCCCGTTACAGCCTCCCGTTCATTATCCTTTCGGAAGGTCCTTCAAGGACCTTCCGCCTACGCGTGATTCACTAAAAGACGAGTAGCGTGGTATAGTAAGATGCCGCTTTTGTACGTACGTATATAGGTATATATTTCAATGCATAATGACGCGGGGACGTTGAAGGAATTAACAATGCGTTTACCAGTGACCGCGGTCCAGGTCGCTACCGCTATTTTACGTTATTCATTTTTTTTTGGTCGCCCACACTAGTCCCTCCCTTT